TCGATTAAGAATTTTCTTCATTGAATCATAAAACTTAGTTACTATGGTCAGTTCATGTTCATATGATGTTATCGACTCCCCTATGCCATTGGTTGCATATCCTGATTGGTTTGTGTCCAGTGTCTATTTCAAACGCATTTGTGTCTCTCTCTGTTTATCTTTCAACACATTTGTTTGCATGGTTTGACTAGTTTTACCTCAGACATTATATATATATATATATCTGGTAAAATGTACATTCCGCCATCTTTTTCGTTACGGTCAATTACACACAATTCATTGCAATATTCTAACACATCAACCACCTTGACACGGTTCACGACAATTCCGACTAATCCATTTCGTTGCTCGAATTTTTCATAATTACAGCTTGTTCGGTGAGTTTTGGTCTATTCAACGTAGTCTATAAGATGACATCATTGTCGAAGGTGTATTTTGGTTTGATTATATCTTTGGTAAGCGTAGGTACAATACTTTATTGTTATATATCCACCACAGCCATTGCTCCACTATTATGACTAAGAGAAAAATATTGATCAATCCATATTACTACTCCCGAACGGATGGCGAAATTATCAAGATGTGATAGTTCGTCCCTTTATTCTCCAATCTCCGTTTTAATTTTAGTAATCTACACTCACTAGTTCATTTCCAATATGGCGGAACATAACAACAACAGTCATTTTTCTAATATAAAGTATTAAAGATAGTCTGCGGGAAAATCCGCTGGTAAGTTACAACATAATATAAACATAGTTTAAAATGAGCCAGCCCTCACACTTCCCCCCCAAATCCTATAATAGAGACAGATTAGTCCTCATCTGAAACCTGATCGATTTCTGTAAATGTAACTTCATGTTGTTCGTATCGCTTACTATGTCCATCGACCTGTAGTCGTTTAGGTGGTTGATTTCTCCGTTGACTGCGTCGAGGTCGAGGGAACTCCACGTCGCTGTCCGTGTCACTACTGTCGCTTATTTCTGCTTGATCTTCAGTGCTATCCGTCTCCCAGTGGAGAGTTTGCCGCGGTGCAGGCTCCAGTTCGTTGTAATGTCTCTGTTTTATACGTCCGTTGGGGTTGTCTTCCGGTCGTACCTTGTATGTGTTATTGTGGCGTTCTATGACAACATATCCCTTACTCTTGAGGTCTGCCAACTTCTTCCCACCGTGTTTATTTCTTGCAGTTGCTGTGAGGCGCATTCGAACACGTTCCCCAATTTTATATGGTCTTTTCATCACCGTTTTGGTCCTTTCTCACAAGCTGTCAGGTATTTTCCTACTGCTGGACACGTCCTCTGTGCTTCTCGAATATCTTTTTCTGAAAGTATTGGGAACAGTCGGTACGCGCCATCCGTTTCAGCTTCCTTCATCGCTAGGCTTGCTACCCGTAGTGTTGCTACTTGTTCACCGTGTCCAATACGAGACAAGTAGTCAGCCATCGCCAACTCCGAGGACTTTCCGGCCCGATGTACTGGGTTAAAAGGATACTGCTGAAGAAACTCTAGCCACCTTCCTCGTCTTCCCTGAACGTCGTTCAGGTCCAGGCTTTCGTTGATCCACGCCAACGCTCGGTGGTCTGTTATCAAATCAAAGCGTTGGCCTGCCAAATAGACTCGAAATTTCTTTACTGCCAGTACAATTGCCAAGAGCTCTCTATCTGTGGTACTATAGTTTCTTTCACTAGACGATAGAGTATGATGAAAGAATGCTATGGGCTTTAAAGGTCCTTGTGGTTGATGCTGGTCACGCTGCGCTAACAACGCTCCTACTCCCACTTCAGAAGCGTCTGTCACCAGCACAAAGGGTCTGGTGAAGTCAGGTAGGTACAATGCTGGAGGGTTCACAACCTGTTCTTTGAGTTTCTCAAATGCTGTTTTTTTTTCAGGCGTCCATTTAAGTTCTTTTTTTCCGTCCTTGTCCAAGAGTTCATACAGTGGTTTTGCGATATCTGCCATTCCAGGGATCCAACGCTGTACGTACGAAAATGCTCCAAGAGCCTTGCGCAGCATTGTTACTGTCGTAGGTAATGGTGTCTTCAATAGCTCTTCCCTCCTATTTTCATTAATGGAAAGCATTCCATCTCCAATGACGTGTCCCAAGAAATCAATATGTCTAACCCCGAAAGTACATTTCTCAGGGTTGAGAAGCATTCCAACATCTTGGATTTTTTGTAGGACTTTCCGCAGTCTTTGAAGGTGTTCTGTCCACGTAGTTCCCCATACTAGTATGTCATCTAGATAGCATAGTGCAACCTCCCAGTTAAGTGAACCGAGAACTCCACTCATTAGCCGCTGAAAGGTTGCAGGTGCTCCAGATAGACCAAATGGTGTCCCGCGACCAGTCCACTGGAAGTGTCCATCCGGGGTTACAAACCCTGTTAATTCTGCGTCTTCTTCTCTCAGTGGCATTTGATAGTAGCCACTTTTTAGATCTAGTGATGAAAAGTACTTAGCTTCTCCCAGTCTGTCAATTAGATCATCAATTCGTGGTATAGGATGGTGTTGGTCGAACGACTGAGCATTCAATGCTCGGTAATCAATGGCCAGTCTGATTTGGCCATTCTTCCTTCTAGCTACTACTATTGGAGCTGCCCATGCACTCGTAGATTCCTCTATTAGTCCTTGATCCAAAAGGTAGTTTATCTCTTTTTTTACTTCACCACGTTCCCTAGGGGATAAACGCCTAGGTCTCACTGCTATAGGTCTGGAGCCTGGTTTTAATCTTATGCAATGTTGACCTTTGCCATTAATTGAAGGCAACTGGTCTCCTGACTGCCAAAATACCTCAGAAAATTCTGATAACAGATCATCCAGCTCTCCCCGTTTCTTAGGGTCCAGTTGATCATCTCCCCGGTATTGTATAACTCGATCTTTACTCTTGGACTTCACTTGTTGACCTGGTAATGCGGTCTCAAACTCAGGGTGTAATTGTGCTATCTTATCGCCATTTCCAAATTTTTCACTAACTTTACTCACATTAACTACCCGTAACCACAGTTCCTCCTTATCGTTTATTCTAACAAGACAGCATGCCAGACGAACTGGTTCATCGCCAAGTGGGTCTATGGGTTCAGCCATATATTCAAGGCCTTTTTTTGCCCCCACAGCTACACATTTGACAAGACACTCTTGTCCTGGATGTATCACAACCTCTTCTTTGACCACTACATCACACGTGCTGTTGGGGGTGGTTCCACTGGTCGTCCGATACATACGTTCTAGCGGGACCCCCTTACCTGTTTCATGTATAAACAGGTGTTCCTTCACTGGATCCCAAGTCACTCTCCCTAGTCGGTATATGAAATCAATGCCTGCCAGGTATTTAACAACACAGTTCCTGACCACATAAAACTTGTGATTTCGCACTACTTGACCGCCGACTTTCACTGTCTTAATTAGGGTCCCAACGATATCTATAACTTCGCCACTCACCCCTTTTGGTGGTTGGGTGTCCAGCTTTCCAAGTGTCACCCGTTCCGTGCTTGTTAACACTCTCTCATCAATTAGACTGACTTCCGCTCCCGTGTCCATCAGCATACTAACTTGAGTCCCATCGTTTCCCCATTGAGCGCGTATAAAAGGACTACGCTGTAGTACCCCTTTTAAGTGTCTTATTGAGTCATTCCTCCTTTCATAGGGTCCGTCCATCTCTGAGTCTCCTCTACTCAACTTCGTCATTCTACCCCGTTGCATTGCCCTCAGTTCTTCATTGGTAGGTAAGGGGTCATCCTCTTGCCTATCCCCTCTTCTCTTTGGATCTGGCCCCTTAACACTATTGCGTGGACATTTGTTTCGTTCTGCCCCGCAACTACCACGTGTAGTCACGGGGTCTTGTAAAAATCCTGTTCCTGGGATGTTTCATCAGGTTCTGCGACTCTTCCCACAAAGCCGGGTTTCTGGCGCCTTCGAGGGGTCCAGGAAGGATTGTGTTTCTGTCTATCTGGACATGATCTCCACCCCCCGGTGTGGTTTGTTGTACTGCAATAGTGACAACGCCATACTTTTTGGTTATTTCCGTCAGCTCCCTTACCAGCACCCTGTTGATGTTGTCGGTGTGTCTGTGGAGCAGCTCGTTGCATGGCTGCTACTACTGCTTTATCAACAGCGTCGGTGATCATCGATTCTAATTTATCATGCTTAGGGTTATTGACTAAGCCCACAGTTTTTCCAGATTTAAGAAGATCGCCTACCTCTGTTGCCCTTTTCGCAATGCCAATAATAACGAGAGAATCCTTTAATTTTCCTTCTTCGTCTAGGATACCTTTGTCTAGTATACTCTCTCGAGCACGTATGTCACGAATCGAGTCTCGAAATTTCTCGACTAACAAACGGGACTTCACTTTAGCTGCCCGAAATTCTGGATCTCTATAAGCATTATCATATGCGACCTCCAACCGTTGAAAATAATCGTCAAATTTTTCACCTGGTTGTTGACTAATACCACGCCAGTCCTGTTGATACGCTTCCTGTGATTTAACTTTGGCATACTTGTTTTTTAACGCCGTCAACAATGCTGCATCATCTGTCTGAACTTCCTGGGGTTGGCGAATGGCCCAGACAAGCACATTGTCCGTTAACTGGGCTAACAGCATGTTCGCGCGTCCTTCTGGAGTCGACCACCGAATAGGTTTGTTTGTCTCACTTGTATTTGCCCGCTTTGCGACCGTCCACGCCGCCTCAAACTTCTCAAACTCGTCGGGCGTTATTTTACTTCCAAACGTAGCTCGAAGCTTCGTTTCAATTGGCTTTTCCTCGTTCGGCATCGTTCTGTAACTCGGTATTTAAATTACGTGGGTGTCTGTATCAGACTCTAAGCTGCCACCAATGTGATAGTTCGTCCCTTTATTCTCCAATCTCCGTTTTAATTTTAGTAATCTACACTCACTAGTTCATTTCCAATATGGCGGAACATAACAACAACAGTCATTTTTCTAATATAAAGTATTAAAGATAGTCTGCGGGAAAATCCGCTGGTAAGTTACAACATAATATAAACATAGTTTAAAATGAGCCAGCGCTCACAAAGACATTTACCAGTTTTTGAAAAACATTCCACAATTGTCTTCAAAGAAGCATGAGAAAAAACAACATAGTTATTTGAAACATGGTCAAACGTTATAGAACTAGTGGTGGTTCCAAAGTAGTCACCAGGGAGCAATTTAACTCTTCTTTTGAACTCTCCTTCTTGGGAATAGGTATGAAGGTGGCGAGATTCGTAAAAATGAAATTCTTTAGCTACAGCTGCGACAGTTACCTCATCGTCGAAAGAAAAAAAGTTATCAATTTTATGGTCGTGACTTATGGGAAAACTTCCGACTAATTTTCCGTCCCACGACTCCCAAATATATACTGTGGCGGTGTTTTGACAATCGCCATAGGAGAAAATGATAATCTTCTTGTCTTTCGTCATGTGTAATCTAAACCTTCTAAAGCCGCCAAAAAGACCATCTAAATGGCGCTGATGAACAATCGTTCCATCTGGACTGTAAACTGATAATGTACCTGATGAACTTAGAACGTACATCATATCTTCATCGTCGATGGTTAAAGCAACACAGTTCCTAACTTTATCATTCGATGGAGAAATATTAAACGGTTTCCATTCTCCTGCTGCTCTGTCAAACTTTACCATATTATCTTTTTTTTCAATATCAAAACCATATATCTCACCTTTGCTGTTTATAGCAAGACGGTAGTTCCCCGGCAAACGTTCACTGAATGAAATTTCCCAAGGTACTGATATTTCCATTCTCTTCATTTTTTTGATACTCTCGTCGTTACAAATCGGATGGAAAACATCGTCCCCACATTTTATTGTTGGCCAATCAAAAAGACCCATTCTTCGCTTTGTAAACTTCATGATGAAATCAGCCAAGATCAAATTAATCATTGTTATAGTTTCTACGATTTCTGCTCGGGAATCTTTCTTAAAAAGAGCCTTTAGCCCTCCTTTGATATGCACTGTAAATATTTCTTTAATGGCAGTCATGTTATGCAATTCAGTAATATAATGTAAGCAGTCACTTACAGCGATTTCCAGATCGTCCAAATTTCCAAGTATTGCGCTAGCAATGCGCACTTCCGCTGCATGAATTCTTTCGTTCGTCTTCAATGCATCATTGTGAAACGATAATGTCGCTTCTTCCGCAGACTTGGCAAATAATCCTTTCGCAGACTCAAAGTGTTTCTTCGATTCGATCTTAAGTTTCCTGAATACATTGACAAGTGCAACCGCTTCTCCCACACTAGTCAGCGACTTTGACTCGGCTGAACTTTGTCCGTCTTTCAGTAATTCGCTCGACTGTGATTCGTTTCCGCCGTCAAATGAGTCTCCAAAACATATAAGCAGACGTTCAACTCCTTGTTTGAAAAAGCTAACGCTCGCAGAAAGATGCATGCGAGACAAAGCATCGAGTTTAAAGTTGACGTCGTCCAATTCACGAACAATCCAGCCTCTAAATTTCTGGTCGGTGAGACCCCCATCTTGAAGTTTCTCAGCGCCATATGAACGAAGTTTGTTCGTTACCAAACCAAGGGCAATCTTTAAAACACCTGCGATTGCTTCCAACATTGTATCAAAACGGTGTATCTACTATAAACACAAGTGAAATCGAACGATGAGGACCAGAGATTTTGATAATAAAGTCAAAGACAATCTCGTAACCAGCAAGACATTCGCACGATAGTCAGATGATAGTCATATGATGAAATATAATACGCATATAATACTTCAATTTAAAAATATTTCAATCTACAGACCGCATGCGGTGGCCATCCGGTATTACAGTCCGTTTTTAGTAAATCGCAATTGTGCTTAAACAAGTCATTTTGACAGATGTGAAATAGTCCAGAGCTTGTTCCGTGAGTTTTATTTGGTCTATTTAACGTAGGGTAAAAAAATTTATCATCGTGAAGGCGTTTCTTGGTTTGATCACATCTTTGGCAAGCGAAGATAGCTACAATACTTTGGCGGGGTTTGTATCCACCAGAGCCGTTGCCCCATTATGATGACTAACAAGACGCGTATAACCCCCCCCCCCTGTTCATTTTCAGGGAAAATCGATTAAGAATTTTTTTCATTGAATCATAAAACTTAGTTACTACGGTCAGTTCATGTTCATATGATGTTACCGATGCCATCTTCCCCCCTATGCCATTGGTTCCATATCCTGATTGGTTTGTGTCGCAGTGTCTATTTCAAACGCATTTGTGTCTCCCTGTGTTTATTTTTCAACCCATTTGCTTGCCTGGTTTGTCCAGTTTTACCTCAGTCATACAACAATTTTTTCTACTGGGAACGCTAGTTTATTCAGGAACGTGTTTGGTTTCCATGCCATACACAAACTATAGTACTTCATAAACCTATAAATTGTATTGCAATATATGTACATATATTTTAACTATATTTATTTTCTTCCTGTAATGTTGGTGGTAAATCCAATAAAATCATGCACACCTTCTAAAACTGTTTCGTTCAAGCTACTATTATCTATATATTTGGCAAGACTCACATGTACTCATTGCAATATACTAAGACATCAACTACCTTGACATATTAAGGGCAATTAACACTAAACAGGCTTTACCAGTTACTAAACAAGCTTTACTAGTCATTAAACAAGCTTTACCAGTAGGAGCTTGTTTCAATTAGTTGCTCAAATTTAGCATAAGTATAGATTGTTCGGTGAGTTTTGGTCTATTTAACGTATAGGTTGAAATTATATCATTGTCGAAGGTGTTTCTTGGTTTGATGACATCTTTGGTAAGCGTAGATACAATACTTTTCCGTTGGTTATATCCACTGCAGCCATTGCACCATTAGGATGACTAATAAGATGACAATCATTTGGCTGATACTCTCTCCTCTCATTCATAAAAAAACTGGTAAGACGTTTACCATTTTTTGAAAACCATTCGACAAATGTCTTCGAAGGAGTATCAAAATAAACTATATAGTTATTTGTAACATGGTCAAACGTGATACAACCAGCGAAGAATGGATCGTCACTAAGGGACAATTTAATTGTTCCTTTGAACTCTCCTTCCAGGGAATAGGTATAAAGGCGGAATTCCTTACGATAGAAAGTACTTTGAGCTAAGGCTGCGACAGTTACCTCATCTTCGAAAGGAAGAAAGGTTATTTTCATCCCACGTTTAAAGTCATGACATATGGGAAAACGTTTGACTTGGTTTCCCTTACATGAATCCAAAATATATACTGTGATGGCTTCGTGCTGTAGGTCACCATAGGAAAAAATGATAATCTTCTTGTCTTTCGTCACAATCATTTGTAATTCAAGCTTTCCAAAGCCGTCACGAGGATCATTTAAATGGCGCTGATGAACAATCTTTCCATTTGGACTGTAAACTGATAATGTACCTGATGAACTTAGAACGTACATCATATCGTCATCGTCGATGGTTAAAGCAACACATCTCCTAACTTCGTCATTCGATGAGGTAATACAAAACGGTTTCCACTCGCCCGCTGCTGTGTCGAACGTTTGAAGATTCTGTATAAACTCGATACAATATATATCCCCTTTGCTGTTTATTGCGAAACTGCTCAGGAAATACGGACTTTCATTACTTGGAATTGGGAAAGTGATCTCCCAAGATAGTGATATTTTCATTTTCTCTTTCACTTTTCCGATGAATTTTGGGCTTTGAATCAAATGAACAGCTCGGTTACCACACTCTATCATTGGCCAGTCAAAAAGACCCATTCTTCGTGTTGTGAACTTCGTGATAAAATCAGCCAAGATAAAATTAATTATTGTTACAGTTTCCACGATTTCCTCTCTAGATTCTTTCCTGAAAAGAGATTTTAACCCTCCTTCAATATGCACTCTAATCGCTGGCATTTTATGCAATTTGGCAAGAAAATGCAGACAGTCGCTAACAGCGTTTTCCAGATCGTCCAAATTTCCGGGAATTGCGCTAGCAATGCACACTTTCGCTGCATGAATTCTTTCGTTCGTCTTCAATGCATCATTGTGAAACGTTAATGTCGCTTCTTCCGCAGACGTGGCGAATAATCCTTTCGCTAATTCAAAACGTTCCTTTGATTCGATCTTAAGTTTCCCAATTACATTGACAATTACCGCTGCTTCACCTACAGTGTCTTCGACTTGGGAAAACACACTAAATGACTCAACGAAACACATCAATAGACGTTCGACACCTTGTGTGAATAAGCCAATGCTCGCAGAAAGATGCCTACGAGACAAAGCATCGAGTTTAAATTTGACGTCGTCTAATTCACGAACAATCCAATCTCTGAATTGTTCGTCGGTGAGACCCCCATCTTGAAGTTTCTCAGCGCCATATGAACGGAGTTTGTTCGTTACCAAACCAAGGGCAATCTTTAAAACATCCGCGATTGCTTCCGACATTGCGTCAAAAGCTCCACGAAAAAAGCAAGTGAAGTCGAACGATGAGGTCAGAGAATATTTTGAGACAATCGTCGAAATTCGGCCCAATTAGGCTTACTGAAGACAATCAGATGATTGTCAGATGATATTCATATTCCAAATTTTTGAATATATTATAAAAATCATGGTACGACAGACAGTTGTAAATACCAAAGGTTGATTATCATGTGATGTGAGATTTTGTTGGCGTTGTGAGATTTTGTCTTCATTTGCAATCAAAGACAAAATTTGACGACTGATAAAACATATTTAGCACATGATACAAAATCAACTTGGTTACCAATCAGTCTTGTTCTACACAAGTTGAGAAATTCACAGAACGGGTAGTCAATGTTTTGGCGGCAGCATGATCAAAAACCAAAATACCGGCAAATACTGCGTGGTAGCCTTATTGTATAAGAATGTTATCATTTTTAACATTGCTATTTTGCATAGTTTGCTGACCTCATGCGGGTTGTTTTGAATGGCGACTATTTAAAAGTTCCATCGTAATTATCGCTACTCTGGTTTTAATAAATGAAAGTAATCATGAAAGTTTATCTTTGTGTGGTGATTACTTTCATTTATTAAAACCAGAGTAGCGATAATTACGATGGGTTATATACCTGATTGCCGTGAACTCATTAACTTCAATTCGTTATTTAAAAGTTATTGAATTAATAATTGAACATGATGATATATAAAGAATTGTCAATCCAAAGTTTGCCAAATTCAATATTTTTTCCATTATTTTTTCAAAAGAGCGAACATTACAATTTTGTCGTCGTTTCACACATGCCGTTTTACATTCATGCTCCTTGGGAGGTTCGTGTCTTCGTCTTTGGTCAAACAGCGCCGGGAAATTCTACAGTATTGTGTAGTTGGCTTTGCTCTGCCGCCAACAAATTTTCCCGCATTGCTAAAATTATACTCTCGAGAACCTTCTGCACAATTATGAAGCCTGAATCATTTCTAGTTAACCGGCGAATTCAGCCAAATAATTCTCGCTAAAGTACAGGAACACTTCGTTATGTCTGTGTAAAGACTACAAGTTTGCACTGTCTACTTTCATTATTTTAAAATATCTTCAACTATTCTTGATTTCATTTACGAGTATCGGTTTCAATATTGTCGGTGACACTACTATATACACACACAACACAACATGTTTGCATATCAAAAGACTATAAACATACCACTTTTTTAAGACAGTTGAGGTAAAAAAATAGATACCTAACTTCAGCGAGATGACAGTTCTCAAAATAATATAACAGCACTGGCAATAATGCGAATGGAAACCGTTTTGTAATACCCCATCAAATGATAAAGTTAGGAAATGTATTGCTTTCATATTTTTCATACGACGACGATTGGCAAAAAACCGTCAGAGTATATATTTGGGAGTCGTGGAACGGAAAACAAGTCAGACGTTTTCCCATGTGACGACACTTTTCCTGAATCGGTCGGATCTTGTCTTTATATATAGTCAAATTTTATGATAATCCCAGGATAAAATCACTTTCTGGTAGTCTGACTAGTCTGCAGTAAAGTTTTTGGTGCAAAAAAAAACACATACACCAAAGTACTATTTATATTTCATATTTGTTAACATTTCATTATGGATACGCACATTATTACGGAATGATGAAAAGCAGAGGTATTTTGGGGATTGGGAACAATAGGTACACATTCCTATATTGAGAATAAGCGATTTTTTATATATCATCGTATAATAAATAAATGACAGCGCTATTTATTTTGAACTGTGAACAGACGAGCCTCTGAGATGCGCAAAATGTTGAGCTTGCAGATCGATGTTTCATAGATTTAAACTTTGGTTTAAGATTATTTTACAGTGGACGGTTGTACATAAATGTTGCCAGGTTGATAACAGTGCAAGAATTAATGATTTTACAACCGATCAGAATTATAGTAGAGAGGTGTAATTACATTTTAGTAGTATATGAATTTCAAAAGCAAATTATTATTTGAAACGCCAGAAAACTTTCTGAACTATGTGCTAAGCTAAATGTCATGGATGCACAATGATTTAGGAAAACTCTTTCGGTGTGCGGCGAGCGAAATCTATCTGCTTTCGTATCTGCGCATGCTCTGTTAGGACAACCCGTACATTCTGGGGATACGTTGTGTTAGGAAGTGTTCCACATTATGAAAAAAAATTCCTACTGAGGGTAAAACATTTCGAAATTTCCTTTAAATATTGTTTCATTTTCTGAAAATTTCTTTCGTCTCGACTTTTCAAATTTAATTTATGATTTAAATGTCTGTTTAAGATAAACATGCAATATTTAGGCCCGACTTCTTCCCCAAATTCCAAGGCCCAACGGCGTGTATTTATTGATGGCTCGATCTGCAAAGCGCTTTCGATTGCAAAGCCCTTTCGAGCAACATGAATTAAAAATACAAATCTTAATTAACAAAGTTGCAAGAGCATGCGTGGGCAAGAGTTTGCAGCGTGGCAGCGTCTTCAAACAACTTAGCATCAAATGTGGTATAGCAACTGCCTAAAATAGACAAAACACTTCTCGGCGTTTCGACCTGAGGGCCTTCGTCAGGAGAGTTGATATGATAACTAACTCATACTAACTCTCCTGACGAAGGCTCTCAGGTCGAAACGTCGAGAAGTGTTTTGTTTATTTTAGGCAGTTGTTATACAACATTTAATGCTAAGTTATCTTAATTAACAAATGTAAATAATATAAAACAGACTGTTTTTTCTTGTCTGACAACGTGGGTTTCCACAAAATTATCCATTAATTTAAACGACCAAAATAAAACATGAATATCTCAGCTGCGGGAACACGCGGTCTCGGGGGCGACGATCAGGGTTTCCACGCTTATTTGCATATGGCTTTCCTGATAGCAATGAAAAAAAAAGAGGAACAAAGAACTTTTGAATGCGTAATAATATATCCTATTAACACAGAGGTCCTCAATTGCAAGGAAATTTCCTTGTATTGTGGAAACCCTGGCGAAGATTAAAAATGGCATCCCATTTTAAATTCGGTATAAAAAAAGTCTTATCGATGCAGTGAATTCACTTCAAAAAAACACTTATCTTCCCACGTGCCTTTGTTTACATAGACAGTCACAGGAAATTGATTCTCCTTATATTGCATTCTCCTTATATTCACAAGTCTGTCATTTTTAATTTAAGCAAATTTTGCTCTACGTTATGTGAAAACCATTGTTGATTTCGCTATTCGTAGCGTCCTTTGATTTTGGCTGTTTTTTTCTCGAATCGAGCGATTTTACCTTCCAGTACGGCTCGTCCATGTTGACATGATGACCGACAGAACGGTTATTATTTCGAGTTGTTTTAAACCTTTTCTTTTGAAACCAACACCGCAGTAACATCACGATTGTAAACACGGCAAATGTAGCAATAGTCGTCGATGTAACCGCAGTTATTAGTCTCAAAGGAAAGCAGTCTGAAGATTTACACCATCCCTCTTGACAGCAGCCGTCGTCACAATGGCTGTCAACTTCACACGAAAATCCATCGCAACTTTTCGCACACGTGGCGTACTTCCAAACCCCACAACACTTCTTGTCACACACTTTTATTCCATCTACATCGAAGATGGTACAGTTGTGCCTTGCTTCTGAAAGATCCACCATATCTAGGACAACCCCGACGTGGCAAAATAATGAAATCCATATACATGTATTCATTTCAAACGACGGAACTTTTTGCCTTACAGATAAACGTTCGAGGTTAGTTTTTTAATAAAAACTCACAAACTTCATCTGTTTTGGATGGACTTTTTACATGCAGTTGCCACCTGCACAAAATTGATAAAAAATGCTGCATGTTAATAGCCCAGAGCCATGAACTGAAACTTTTGTCGTATCCAAGTTGTGCTTGAAATAGAACAAAAAGTAGAAAAATTGTTTCATTCAAACTCACATAAAAACCCGATCGAATTGTCGCACCATTCAGTTCAAAGTCTGTCCACTTTGAGGACTCGCTAAAGCATTGCTCAAGAAGTAATTAGATGATCCAGTATGTCTTAAATTATTCATTATGATTTCTCTCATGCAGGCATTTTGTCTCCAAAGATCTCTATCAAAATCACAAAATCTATATTTTTAATTCATTTTTGGCACGATAACATTTTATTTTTAATCACGTTGCTACTCTTGGGCTCCTGAAACCAGTTCTCTACTGGCACATTCTTTCGCGCGTAGGGAATATGAAAGTTCCCTTCGGACTGTCCTCTGGCAAAATGTGTTGAAAAAAAGCTCAAAGAAAAACGCCTCTCGTGCGGTTTTTGAAATATCGTTAAAAAAAAACCGGCTTTCAGATGTAATTTTAAAAAAAATGATGTCCCTCAAGTGAAATCAAAAGTAATGTTTCTGTGCGTCGGTTTTGTTCATAACAACGCAGGCAGCTGATTTATTTATCGCACGTTTCAGGTTTTCCACACGCAAACTTCAGTTCATATTTATTTAAAACCATAGCGAACAAATTCTGTGTTAGATATATACAAACAGTTTGTCGTATTCTAAGAAACCGAGAAGAGAACAATTAAATTTCGGAACTGAAAAAAAATAATAACCAAGACAACTTAGACAAGATTAGGAAATATTTGCTTTGCGGATTTTGACTGGTTTTCCGCGCGAGGGAGGAACAGGATATTCACAGGATGGGCAATTATATTGTGATGTTTAAAACCGAATAATTCTTAATTGTCTGTGTGTTTTTCCCTGGCAGGAATGTTAAGAAAGCCCACTCATGTTTATTCGGAAGAATACTGAATTTTCCCATTACGGCATTAGTCATTATATACGCCTATTATAAACGAACATCATGCACAGTATTTATAAAACATACGACGTTACATGCTGGGATATACAAATTACTTCCAACTATTTAAATTTTTAATAATTCATCAAAACTTTGCGGAGGATAAAAAAAAGCTGTATACATGTTCTACTAAAATCTATATGATTTTCAGATTAATTAAAATCAGCGCTGGGTTTCACGGTTATCTGCTTCAGTCTGATACTGCATGTATATAGGTGATGCATAATTACGCATTTTCTTATCATTTGACTACAAAGTTCTGCGATAAGATATATTTGCTTATATACATGCTTAAAAAAGTTTAAAGACGACGTTTCGACGTTTACAGAACGTCATTATCAAGTCAATGAAAGTTTTAAATTGTTTGAGTTTAAATATTAAAATTGAGACAATAGAGTGGTTAATTAGAATCAAATGTCAACAGTCCCATACAAAAAGTTTTGCACGGATGGAGTCACTTTGAATATTCAAAGCAGGTTTGCATTCTTTAATATATAAGGCAATCGTATTTGTTCTGGCATTTTCTTAAGACTTCAAACTTCAATTTTCTTATCACCCTGAAATCCCATAAATCTACGCAACAATCTAATAAGTTGTAAAAAGCGTGGGGAGAAGTATTTTCCCCGCTTGTTTTATATTGACAGTGCTTTGTCTTGTTTGTTGCTGTTATTGTTGCTCTTGCATGAAGCTGTTTTTGATAATGATGAAGGCGTTTTATTTATATTATGCATCTTTGTTTATTGCATTGGTTTTTCCGTTGTTTTTAATTGGTCCCGTTATAGTTGCTGTTGTTCTTATTGCTGCTTAACTGTTGTTGTTGTTGTTGTTTCTGCTGTTGTTGTTAATGCTGTTTAATTGTTGTTGTTATTGTTGTTGTTATTGCTTTTGTTATTGTTGATTTTCTCGCTAATGCGCAACTGTTACTGTCGTCCTTAGCTGAATGCTGCCGTTTCTGTCGTTGTTGTTAAGCTGCTGTTTTTAAGTAAATTTAAAACACACATGATTCGCGTGTCAATTAGGGAACATCTGCATCCAATTTAGTATATTGTTGAGACATGAATCTCTTTGAATTCTATGTTGATTTATTGTCGAATTCTGTATAACTATAGCACGTGCATGTATATTCTCAAGTATACCACATTGACAAGATGGTAAACAAGAGCAAGTTATATCCTAGTTTGCATAGTAAAATATTAGTTTAAAGGTTAAGATCCATCAATAAACTATTACCATTGTATTATCACCGTATAATATTGAACTGATCTACGTACGTACGCGTCACGTTTGATAATCCAAGCATTCTTCGCAACTCTAAGCTTCGTTCTTTATCGTCTCCCAAATATCCGCATTGAAAAACAACTTTTCTTTCTCTTCATTTCCAGCCTCGCTCGACTTCAATTTTTTGACAACTTGTTCCGCATCAATACGCATTCCTTTAGCGACGTCGCTCACTTGTATGGCTTTCCAAAATAGGCCTGTAATCATGCAAGAAAATCTTCACCACAAGGAAAATACTGCCAGAATGGAATGGCATATCGCATTTTTGACAATATTCTTTTGAAAAAGTTTTCAAACTTTGTATATAGTAAATACCATATACAATTTTATTAGAGATGCGAGCGCTATTGCATGGAAATGTGCGATTTGTTCCAATCAAAATCTCGCTAAAATAAACACAAAGAACATACCAACTGCTTTTTCAACAAATCTTTTATCCTGACCGCGATCAAGAAGACCCGGTCGAAAAATACTGAGACGGTCAAAATTTAACTTTTTACAATCTTCTTCGATCTTAAATGGTGAAAGGAAAACAATATTATTTATATATTGGATAAAGATGATTGGTCATTTTCCGATATTGACGTAGTTTGGGAACTTTTCGAAGGCAACTTTCACGCCTGAAGCGAGCATATTCAAGGGACTATTGCATAAACACACATAACACCAAGTCTGGCGACTTTAGGGCCTGTTTACATAGAGGGAGTTATCCCGGCTAGGCGAGGTAAAAAGCGCATCACATCAAAGGCAAAACCTGATTAGTCTTCATTATATGCAGTTTTCACCTCGCCTAGCCGAGATAACTCGCTCCATGTAAACAGGCCCTTAACAAGCAGTGGAAATATAATATAAAATCAAAAGATAAATAAGATAAAATCATCTTCGTCTTCGATGAAACAAATGGCAAAACGAAAAATTAAAACTTATCATGAACCAGTTTTAAAATCAAAGAACTTAACTTGACAAAACGAAATTAAAGACCAAAGAAACGAACTTGGCGAAAAATAGAAGTATATACCCCGCACTCCCCGAATTGTCAGTAAGAGGAATTATACTTATAATGGAACTTTATAATTTGAAATTGAACAACTTATATTAGCCAAAGCAGACAAGATGAATCGTTGTTAAAATCTATCACTAAAACACTACTTCTAACGAATGAGTAATACAAATGTGAAAATACCTTGATTGTCTATGTGAAAATTGTTAAATTTTAGATTGAAAGGACTATTAATTACCTGTCCTTTAGTTTTCATATACAAAAACCAGCTGTTTGCATTCGCTCCCGTGGATGTTAAAAGTGACATGTGTTTCACTCCACATTCCTTTGCTATTTCAACACATTTCATTGGATAATCATGGTCTATTCGGTAGAAGGCTTCCTATCAAAACACAGAATAGATTATAACCATTACGGCTTAAAACATATGCTCCAAAATGATCTAAAAATTAGTGAATCGTGAGCTAATTTTGGAGTCAGAATATCGACATTTTTAATCCCTGCAACTTTTTTACAAAACATAAATTTCAAGCGCATTTAAACTATAGCGAATCTTATCTACTACATATGAACTAGAGAGATAAAGCTTCCCACGTTTTGTGAGACAATTTTTAAAACTATGTATGCGGATCAAATTTAGGAAGCATCCATCCAGATTTTTTTAGATCAGTAATGTCAGGTCAATTTACATACGCACATATCAAAGTGACAGGAAGAGATACTGATAAAATACATAATAAGCCTGTGTTTACTACAACCTGTCGTTTAAACTCGTGGTTCATTGTGATTGAACGATTGAAGTCGACGTGGAGGACAACTGGTATTACAACACACATCGCCAGTCATTCAGTGACTAGACCTGATTATATGGCATTTTTTAAAGCACTTGCACTGGCTTATATAAATCCCGTGTTTAAAAGTTTTTGAAGCCGAACGGAACGGAAGTAGAAAAAACCAAGTCATAATAAACAGTCTTTTATTACATCGGGCGAAATATACCGACATGCTAATGTCTAGTAAGGTCATTATTTTCATAACATGCCTTTATATGGCATCGCAAATACTAGCTAATAGCGATGAGGACGAAGACGACCCGAAGAAGAGCATGGAAGCGCTCGGAACGTTCTTTAAAATGATGTCTGGCACGGATAAAGAGTGTAAAATGAGTTGCCCGGAAGGATCGGTGCCATTGCCGCGACCTGGTCATGTTCCGAGCAGCAATGGCTGTGGATCTTTAGGTATAAAGCTGGATACGAGCATGTTTCCAGGTTTCGAGGGGTGTTGTGACTCGCACGATAAATGCTACGATACTTGTAACGAAGACCGGGACGAATGCGACGAATTATTCAAGGAATGTTTAGGCGCCGTTTGCCAGGAAGTCAAACAAGTTCGGTCGTCGGACCAAACTCAACTTTGCGATAACGTCAGCGGGGTAATGCAGGCGGCCGCGGTGGGCCTGGGGTGCTCGTCTTTCAATCAAGCACAGAAGAGCGCATGCGTGTGCAGCGGGCACGCCATTGAAGAAGATGGCGACAGCAACAAAGGCACAAAGGGTGAACTGTGACTTACGTTGAAAATGTAAAGAAATTGACAGGAAATTAATATTTATAATATAAACAAATTGTGTAAAAACTTATATTTGATGCAGTTTTTGTCATGGGGGAGGGGAGGGGGACTTCATGTTGAAGGCAAAGTAACAATAGACTCTTTCAAAGTCTTTGTCCTGAGACAAAAGAAAATTCAACAGCAACATGAATGAATTATACCTGCTATAGCAAGAAAAACATATCACTCATGCATCTTGGTATTGGGATTTCTATTGTCTTTGAAATGCCAGATCCTGATCAGGGTAAGTCAGAATAAATTACTACAGCTCTCACTTGCAATTGTATTGGTACATTTCTATGTAAACATTTTCTTTAGAAATGAATAACCAATAGCATTGTTAATGAGGTATTTTGAATTACAAGTTAGGCTGTGTTATTTATTCTAACTTAACCTGAATCTGCCAATGTGTCTTTGCATTCCTGTAAAATGGTGATAGGTTCCTGAAACTCATCTATTAGTATTCAAATATATTACATTCTTCCCTGATGTACCCCAGACAAGAGATTTCATTTTAATAAAAAATTAAATGGTCACAATCTCCACCCAGTTGGTCTACCAAGCTGTACAAAACAAATATTTCCACTTTTTAAACATGGCCTGGAAAATGATATGTAAAAAGAGAAAAGACATAATGGCATACATACAGCAGATCCTGCAACCTTTCTTGTTGTTCCCATTGTATTGAAAAACACATCTCCATCTTGAAAATGCTCACCAACAGTATCCTTTGTAAGAGTCTCAAAATCTACAATATAGAATACATATTACTCTTCACATCAATTTGGGATTTGATAGACTTACATACACAATGCACAAAATATGAGATCTACAGACTTATTCTTTACTTTACTAAAAACTTTACTATACTTAACCAAAAACTTTACTAAAAGGGACTCACAACAGTCATGACTAAATGAAAACTGTGCTTAATCAAAATACTTACCAACAGTGACTTGCACCAACCGACCTTCACTCTCTGCCTCAGCCTGTTTGACATTGTACTCGTCAGGTACTGTTGCATTTCTTCGGCCAAGGACAACGACTTTGGAAAAATTCTAAAAGTGACAACTTCATATTAGAAAGATGCATTAATTCCACAACCAGTAACATATATTTGTACCATTTTCATGGTAATTTAAGTTAGTGTTGAAAACCAATGTCTTTCTTGAATATATCTTTTCATATCTGTCTATAGACACCCAGTAATTATTAAATAGACTATTACGATGCCTGTTATTATTTCCTATTGCAAATATATCAACTTATAATCATTACACCAAATATCTAATCAGTGACACGACCACGAAGACTGTTTACATCACTGCTCTTTTAAGTGAGGTCCACATTCAACCAAACTAGCAAATGTGCAAGCATGCAACTAGTGTGGTGTTCCCACTCAAACGAAATTTACGTATTTCACTGGTATAATAGTTACATAACTTTAATGTAATTGTAACATAATTGTCACGCAACTTAATGATTGCGTGATAAACATCGCTTGATAGTCGATCATGCTAATGTTTTAAATTATCACATCATCAAGAAATGATATAAGATAAATATACCACCTTTGAGCTCAGAAGTTCTCCAACTAAACACTTTCCGACAGCACCAGTTCCACCGATAACGAGAGCTTTTAAATTCATTGTTTGTTCACTTTCAACGTTTGCAGATGCCCCCTCGCTTTCCGCCATGTTTGTTTATCTTTAGTGGGGTCAAGTTTCTCTCATATCGAGAGAGGTCAACTTCGAACCGCTCCCATCGCTTCCTTTTTCGCGCCTTTTTCTTCGCGCACTTTTTTTCGCGCGTTCTTTCCTGTTTTCGCGCTCTTTTCAAACACTGCTTTTTTACCGTTTCCGCTTGGTAATACAAAATTGGCCACCCTTTGCTGGACTTTTTAACATATAATAAAACTAGGCTTGACTCCTTGGTCAAAGAAAGAGTTTAAAGTTTAGAGTGAAAGTGAGCATTAAAGACGGCGCCAGGCGAGAGAAAAAGGCGGTAAGCGCGACAAGAAGGCCCCAGGCGAGACAAGAAGGCGTCAGGTGAGACAAGAAGGCGGCAGGCGACACAAGAAGGCGCCAGGTGACACAAGAAGGCGCCAGGCGAGACAAGAAGGCGCCTGGCAAGACAAGGGGACGTCAGGCGAGACAAGAAGGCGCCAGGCGAGACAAGAAGGCGCCAGGCGAGACAAGAGGACGCCAGGCGAGACAAGAGGGCGTGAGGCGAGACAAGAAGGCGCCAAGGCTTTTAGATTATTTTTGAGATCAAAGCACAAAGGTTTCTGTGATAATTGCATTACATTTCAAATTATTTTTGTAGTCAACCATACGAAATGTTCAGTTTAATAATATAGAACTTTGGATTAAAATAGAAATATTCTTTAATGGCAGCAATGTCGAATTATATGTATGGGATAAAGTGCTTTGTCGTTAGCAGTATGAGATATACAAAAAATGAGTTTTCTTCTAATTGATAAAAATCAGGCAATAGTTTGCACTGATGGAGCTTAACTTAAGCTTGTCTGCATGTAGGCAAGAACTGTTCTAACTTCAAAGAGAAAGCACAGAACAATTCAAAGCTGGTGATTTTATGAAGAAATACTTTTCGTTTCCATTTTGCATCTATGACTTGAATGACCTATCACTGCGCCTCTGCAACGCTAGGCACCAGGAATTAAAGGATTGGTCAACTCTTAATACAAACCCGAACATCAGGATTAAAAAGATTGACATCACAATAAATGATACCCCCTCGAAGATGAATCTTGGCGCGAAAATTTTCCAGACCATCAGATGACGACGGTGTACGGCCGCTGCCGACATTGTTCCGAGTAACTATGTAAGAAGTAAGACGGATGTTAAGAAGTTTTCCGGCCTCGAAATATAAAACATTTGTGCGAGCAAGAATTTAGGAAATTGCTAAATCCTATATCCTTACTAGGGATAAACCTACCCTGAATCCTTTACAGACTTGATACAACACAAAGCTTCGGAACATGTCGGAACGTAACGTCGTCGGATTCTCGTGGTAAATAAGCTCACCAGTGAGGCTGCGATTGTTGTCGTCGATGGTTTCACTGTTTATGGATTGCTTTCTCCACAAAATAATCAACGGCAAAGCGATCGTAAATAAGACATCCGATGCAAATGTATTGAGCAATATCAAAAACCCTAAAAGTATACAAATGTTTCTATCTCATAAAGCTGTAATTTATCATGATCTTTTGGAGATAAGAACAAAAAATGCACTTGAAGCAGCAACTCACCAGGTAAATAGAAGCTGTTCATATCTCCAGGAAGACCAACAAATGCTGCTTCAAACCGTATTGCAGGAAATGTGGCCTGGTGACCGGTGGAATAGAAATTGTGAGAAGCCATCGTCATCCAAGTCATCACTGGAACCAATAAAGAACCTAAAGAAAAAGGAATTATTTATGTATGACTAAATCTAATCTAAATCAACTAAATCGTGGCTTTGGTTATGTATGAATAGTTTACATACACTGAGAATTTGCTTCTTGTGACGACATCATTCTGTTAAGCTCCAGGAACAAATACATCTGCGCCAACATGAGCGTCACACTAGGTCCCAGACTGTCACCGAGAACAACGGCCACAGGTAACGCGAAGCAAGTCAACAGAATCAATACTGCCGACGAATAGACAGTCCCCAAACCATAGACATAGGGTATGTCTTTAGCATCGTCTGGTTCACTCATTTCGGACCTTAGTTGCCTAAAAATCTGCACCACAGAATTTCTCATCGCCTGCTCCCTGGTGGATATCGAAGGCTCACTATTCAAATCACTTGATTGGACAACGAAAGCTGTGATTGGTTGGTAGAGTAAACAACACAGAACGCCCAAGCAACAAATGTACAGAATACACGGAGTAATGATTTGTTGAAAAACTCCAATGACAGGATTTTCATCCATCATTCTCGCGGGAACGTACTGAAGCAGCCAATGAACGCACGCAAAAAGCGCGCCAAATGGCAATGCGTATTTGACAGCGAGAACGGAACACGAGTATCCATTCAAATTTCCATCAGTTCGAAGTCGAAATATCACGGAAGCTGGTATGAGCAAAAGAAACAGCGAGGCTAACCAGACATGGTAGCCATTTTGTTTTGAGTCGTTAAACGATGTTTTCAAGAATTCCGCTAACTCGCAAGCCTTCTGTTCTTCACGGCAATGCGAAAATAACGAGCTCAAGCGAAACGAACCCATTAATGCAAATAAACAAGCTAATTCCCGTCTATGTTTCCCCAAAGCGGCCCAGATTGCCCCTCGTTTTTTCTTGTCTTTTCTGTTTTGAATTCTGTATCCCTTAGTATTTTCAATTTCCAATACCTTCACAGCGGCAACAGCATTTGTTAAAATATCTACAACTAGAACCAGAAGTATTGTTTGCAAGAAAAATACTAAAATCTTGTCTTCGTTGACAACATAACTGTTTGAAAAAAAAATGATGAATTGTGCACAAAGCACGAATACTGTAGCATATTCCTTTAACTTGATGTGATCAAAATAATCTTTCTTAAAAGCAAAAATTCTTGAGTGCATTTTAAAAAGTATACCAGCGATTCCATACAGAAGAAATAGCAAGAAAAATAGCGAAACGTAGCCTTGGAAGAGGACCATTCCCGGAACGATGACCAACGCAACTGCTTTGCCAAAATTGTTAAGATTTCTTGAGAGATCACCATTTAAAAGCAAGTCTGGTACAAATACCAATAGCAGACTCACCATACACGATACGGCCATAGCAAAAATTCCAGTCTGAATAGCAGGCACATCGAATTTCGCCCAAACCTCTCGACAAAGTTTTCTTATCTGTTTTAAAAAAGAAAGATAATCAGCTTTCTCCCCTTGTGAAATATCATCGCCAAATTTTGGGAAATTTTGCATTAATTCGTCGATAACAATTTCTTTCTTGAATACAGATTGTTTTATGGCGTCTAAGGCCTGCGAAGAGATATCATTCGATAGCTTGGTGTATTCTGATACGTATCGATCAACCTGTCGGACATTGAGTTCAAGAGCATGAAGTATCGATATATTTTTCGGCAGGATTTCTGACCCTGAGTTCTCGAAGAGGCTTGGCACTATAATTCCGAGATTCGAGTATGGAATAGGTTGCCCAAGTAGTAAGGAGAACGTCGGAACGAAATCACTTTGTGAAACAACTTGGTCTTCCTCGCGCTAAAAATAGAAATATTTTATAAGAAAAAAGTTAACGCAGACTTTCCTTGAAATTAGGATTCTCCCTGCCTTACTAATTGGTTAGTCAAAGTTGTACCTGTGTATCTGAGAAAAGTTTGCTGGGACTGTACACAAATAGACCAGCATGCACTTCGTCATCACTGTCACCACCATGATCACCAGACTTTGTCATACCATGATCACCAAATACCATCAGTATGGTTTCATTGTCTAGTTCATTCACCACAGAACTTGATTCATGAATAAAATAATAATTTGTATCACTATGACTTTATAGGACAGTCTTATCTATTAAACTGGGATTAAACCAAATTTAAACTTAAGACAGTCTGCCTTGGCTATTAAGGATAAAAGTGAACAGGAAATTAATTCCCCTACATCCTTTTGGATACTAATGTTATATGCATATTTTCATTTTACTTCCTGAGATTTCTTTTGGTATAGAAAGAAGTGCAGTATGCTGTCTACATACCTCAAGACTTGATCCATCTGGGTCAACTTCTCGGCCATGGCAGGATGATATGGTCCATACCTATGACCACAGTGATCCACCCCAAGAAAATGAGCGATGATCACATCCCAATCAGGTTTCCGAATCTCGGGAATCAAATGAGATATCACTCCATTATCAACTGTGTGGAGATCTTTGACATTGAATGAGGGATATGGGTAATGCCTATCAAAATGATCTATAAAATAGCCACACTCAATTAAAGGTAAGTTCTTACAATTTATTAAACATTGAATAATCATAACATTGAATAATTTGTTAACAAATAATAAAAATGGTAATACTGTTGCAATGGTGACAATTGCATGTTAATATGGCAAGTTTTTGGTTTGACAAAAACTATGCAAAAATTAATTGTACATATTTTAAAATTTAATTCGATTTTACTTACTTGGGAACAATCCCATCCAGGTATCGTCACCCATAAAGACAATTCTCTTTCCACGTCTTTTCAGTTGTGTGATGATGTTATCCTCGTGAATCTCAGAACTGGCGAAATTACTTCCAGCGTCAATGAATGTTGGTAAGCTACCTAACATTGGCCAAAACTTAACATTAACTGATGACAGACATCTCTGAACAGATTCAATGGTGGAAAATTATATTTTGCATGCACTGCGTCTGCATAGCTTCTCTTTGCACTGGTGTACTTTTGAGACACATGTGAAAAGAAATCCAATCCTGGTACCACCCACAGCCCATGACCCTGGCCCCCAGCAACCCTCTAAATAAGGGGTCCACTTTGTCATAATGTCCCACATCTAATAACCAAGCAAGAACCTACCAGTTGTGAGGCCTTTTATTCTCTGCATAGTAGTTGTAGGTGGATCAGCCACAAACTTAAATATTCGTCCATGACCAGACCTCGTTTTCAAAACTTCATTGATTATTTCCAGCTTGTTTTGAAAACTTAAAGCATCCTTCGTTTCCAAAGACTCGTTATACAACATGAAATCATATCTCAGCGCGTCGATAACGATCAAAACTGCCTTCTTAAATCGAGCTGTCCTCCAACAAGAGCCAAATTCTTGGAAAACATCATGTGCATGGAAGAAGGTAGAATTCGAGATGACATCACTGCATTTGCTGTTTTGTGGCACAACCACACGCTTCAATAAAAATCCCCGCGTGAAAATATATATCCCGAAGAAGAAGAAAGCAGTTTGTAGGATCAACACTAACGATAATTTCCCACCATGTTTTGTAATTCCCATAGTATTTAATTTTTTCCACAAATTCAATACTTCTTTTTGAAATTTGAATGAAAAATATTCGACTGCAGTACGTCGTGTAATTCACACAAATGTGATCCAAATCGATGTACATACATATCAACTCTATTTTGAAAAAGTAATGCAATTTTTTTTGCTTTTTTCCCATTTTTCGGATACTGTTATAAGTTTCTTCCGCATTACCAATGCTTCAGTTGCTTTAACGAGCTTTTCTGAAACTGTTTCCAAATATTAAATATATGGTTGTTATTACTGGTTGAATCAATCCTGTGCAAACGACGGTAGAGTCGCGAGGCGCATTAAGAGTCTGGGACTGGTAGTGTTTGTAAACAAAAATGGCTTCGAAAATGACGAAGGCTTTTATTGCAATTTTTGTGATTATCGTAGGTTTGTTGGTTCTCAACTTCAGGTAGGAAGGGATTATTATAAGAAACTACAGTTTCAACTACTTTCACATCGTCTGGGTTGGCATGGAAAAATTTAACATAGAAATAAACATCTGGTCTATTGTGAGATGGATTACCACGTTTGAAATCTTTCTTTTATGGCTAACATACAATCCCAGTAGCCTAGTGTAGGATACTAATTACATTGGTCACTATGAAATATCTTTCTCGGGTAGTTCAGACAAAAACCATGACAGCTTATTGTAGAATACTACCCACACTAGACCATCACGTTTGAGATATCTTTCTCAGGTAGTTCAGAGACACAAACTATGATAGCTTATTGTAGAATACTACCTACACTGGACCATCACGTTTGAGACATATTTCTCAGGTAGTTCAGACACAAACCACAACAACTTATCGTAGAATATAACCTACACTGAATGACCATGTTCAGCATCAGCTTGCCAGAGTAATGGCAGACAAGCCAGATATTGGCCACAAAGCTAATTCATATGTCATTAACCATGATGTGCAATGTCATCGATATACAATTTGGGACACAATCTTAAAAGATTCTGACTTGAATTGCTCTATTACATTCCTCTGTGGTAAAATACTGCCCACACTGGACTGCTGTGTTTGTGATGGTGATCTCCAGCATTACAGTGTAAAATACAAAATTAGATTTAGACTATTTGCTGCTTCAGCAGTAATTTTTTGCACTGATATCTGTCAATTTCTGAATTTCTTTTTCTTGAAGGTCGCCCCAAACCTTTAACATATATCTCAATTACATAATATGGAATGTCGTTACATGCTTTAATCAAGAATTCTACATTTCTTGTAGTATAAATGTGGATCTATCAAAAGTTCTCACCCGAGCATTGGCAACTGGTGTTAATAAAAATCAAAGTGGAAACCGAACCATTGGTTCTGTTTTTTTTATTTTTACTAAATCCCAAGTGTTGGACCCCTTCCTTAGTTTCGATTACATGACAAAATAACCATTGGTCAAAAAACCAAACTTTTTCAATCATTGTTGTAAGATTTTATGCTGATAGAGTAAATATCATATAAAATTTCAGATGGGAATTGTGGTGAAGTAAGTCAAATTGAAGAATGCAAAGACTGTTTAAGACATCAATTAGTAAGTTTATGGGAAATAATAGGCATTATTTAAAAAAATTTAGAAAATTTGAAAAATTATGTTTATTCATCATCGTTTCCAGGTAAATTATCCAGAATGCAAAGAGACTGGAAAAAGACAGAAAAATAGATGTTCTAAATCTAAGAAAGAATTTTATACGAGGTATAAAGAAAATATATTATCTGCACTATACCTTGACCTAACTTCCGGCACTTCAACTGTCTTGGCTCTTGGACTCTAGTAAGAGTTTAATAGATTTCCTATTGTTCTTCTGAAATGTTTGAAATTAAAACAATGAATCTTTGGCTTTGCTCGTTACAATGCGTGCAGGAAATCTCAGCCATATTGCGATTTGTGAAGATCATTAAACATATCATGATTTTGCTGTTTACTTTCTACAATAAAACGAGTACTTTACGATGAAAAATTTCACATGGCGCGAAGGCATTGTATTCCGCCATGTTTTTTGTTTTCTTTTTTGAATTTTGATGGCGGTCGGAGGCCCAGGCTCCACGGTCGGTAGATTCCGGCGCATGCTCAGAGCTAAAAACAGCTCTAAACTATGGCTATCATTACTAAAAAAGCTTTGTCTTTGAAGTCCAAAATTACTGCTGTTTGCAAGCTAGATGGTTGCTTGGAAACAGCAGTAACTTGTTGAAACTTCATCCAAATTGTTATTGTCAGGAATTAACAACTCGGCAATGCCTGATGCTCCATTAATGATGTACCTATTTTTTATTTCAAGTTGTCGAACTAACGAAGAGAAAAAATTTTGGATATTCCAGGTAGCTAATAGTTTTATGGATCAATAAAAATGAAAACCTGTAGATCAGGGATAAAAAGATAATCCACAACGGATTAATTTTAAGATTCTGTTCCGTTTTAGATTACCGCCTTAGTTCTGGGTCTATTATCAAGTTCGATCGTTTGGTGCAGATCCAAGCATCTTGACGAGCACGTTCTTGGAAAAATCAGAAAACAAATAAGTGGCGACTCATAACAGTCCTGGCTTTCTAGGAATCATTTTATTTTAAGCGAATCCTGTTTTGGTGAAAGTTGGACGTGGATCATAGATCGAATTCATGTTTGCTCCACATGCAGAATTTCATTAGAAAATTTACAACTTTGAAATTTAGAATTATTTTTGAAAACCCACCAGGATTGAGATTATGATTAATAACATCACGGTTAATAGAACATGAAATTGCGTGTATATATATATATATATATATATATATATATATATATATATATATATATATATATATATATATATATATATACACCCGTTTGCAAAAACGTTGGCCGCAGATAGATAGATAGATAGATACTCGAAGTCTAATTAGAATTGCATATGATTACATTTGCATGGGATTTCAATCATATTACAAAACATATGCAATTCTAATTAGATTTCGGGTATCTATCTATATATCTATCTGCGGCCAACGTTTTTGCAAACGGGTGTATATATATATATGTGTTGTGTGTATACATATATATATATATATATATATATATATATTATATATATATTATATATTATATATATATATATATATATATATATATATATATATATATATATATATATGTATATAGATATATATATATATATATATATATATATATTTATATTAAAATGTAAAACTAAAATGTTACTTAAATATTTTTTCCTCTTATATATAGTATATATTAAATTAACTTTCTGAACTACTATGATCATGGAAGATTTTGATAATAAAGATAGCCTAATAGGGAACATTTCCAGTAAAAATGTATGTAAATATGAATATTCTTAGCAAATTTCGGAACTTTCCCAAAAAGAACAAAAAATATTTATTTCACATAAATATCAGTATAACGCCTATATTCATATTGTAAGAAATATATTTTCAAATAATAGTGGATTTTCAAAACAATGAAAAGACAATGAAACCATATGATCTCTGGATCATGACTGGATGACACGGAGAACAGTAAGATTTTTGAAACAATGGAACATTCTGATCTCTAGATCACGACTGGATGACATGGAGAACATTAGAATTTTTGAAACAACAGAGAAGCAATGGAACATTCTGATCTCTGGATCCTGACTGGATGACAAGAACAGTCAAATTTTGAAAACAATAAATAGACAATGCAACATGCTGATCTCTGGTTCATGACTGGATGAGAGAGAACAGTGCGACTTGAAAAGTCAATATAGAACTTTCTGATCACCGAATTATGACTGAATAAGACGGAGAACAGTATGGATTTTTACGGAGGAGTAAGAAAATTCTTTATCAATGTCCTTACTTCAACTGTGTGGCGATAACTAGTACTACATAAAACAATTTCAATATTCTAACAACGTAAATCGTGGGCTTTTACAATTGTTGAAGATAAACAAACAACATGTCTCGACTCCCAAAATCCACTTCAGACGTGCTGCTAGTCATTTCTGATTTCTGATTGTTAAGCGACCTGTGTTGTAAATTCACTTTGACATATACACTCATGCATGTTAAAATTGTAAATTCGGTATCACGTAGCCTCATATTCGGCTTCCCTTGATAAACACTTCAGAGAACGCCAACATTTTTTTATAAAATATTCGTTCAATGATGTCAATCTTTATATAATTTTAATTGCAAGACACGTACTTTCCGGCATAATTTATTTTTATTAATTTTTTCATGATAACAAATATATATATAGCTATATATATAAATATAATATAAATGTTCTCGAGTAAATTTAAGCAAACAATATTCTTTCTCCTATAGGATATATATATTAAACAGTCAACCAAAAATTTCCACTAATGTGAAAGATTTCTAAGTGCTGATAATATACGATTATTTCGCCCACAAACCGGCAACGTCAGGAGCCATTTGCACGTCACTCATCACATGTAACGACATCTTTCTCAAAAACACGGGAGAAGTCTCGCAATTGTTTACGACTGTGTGTTTAGATTTTCTCGTATTTCGATCGGCTAGTTTTTCCACTTCAAAATAAACATAAAATAAGGTTCATTGACCCCCAGGTAGATTCGGGTAGATGGATCAGATTTAAGCTTTATTTAACCAGGGTAACTCCGTCAGCATAAAGCTATTTTCTCTGAAGGTACTGCATGTGTTGTCTTGCCACATATACATGTGTTTTTCTAAACTTGATAACATTTTCGTTCATTTCAGTTTCCTTCAAATCAGCTCATATATATTCACAGAATACATATCTTTATTATTACGTCTTTATTATTACGGAATCTGTATATTATATTACGTCTCATTTGACAGTTCAGAAGTATTTCAGAGAAATCCCGGCATGAATCAAAATATGACAAAAAGCAGTTTATAGCCTATAGGCTTATATAGACGTAAAATAAATTGAAGACACTGCACTATCATATCGCGGTACACAGAAGGGAAATAACCAATATCCATTATTTTTTTACTATTATGTAATACGCAGTGCTTTATCGAATCCGCCATTTTAAAAACCGATAATAACACATGTGCGATTATCGCGTTTGATCCACCGATCTGGAATCAGGAAGGGGGATAAAAAACTTTAAAAAACCCCAGTTTTTTATTATATAATAAACAGAATAATACATGGATGCTTGGATATATGAAATTTATTTCTCGTGTTGAGAAAGATATCTCACATCTATTTATACTTCGTAATTAGACAAGGTTCGCATCAGAATTTCTAATCATCAATTATTACTGAAGCTTAGAGTTGACAAAACTCGCAAAAGCCTGTATATATCAATACTTTTAAGTATCCTCAGTCGCTATATACTGCACGTATTGAAATATATTTCTATATTCATTATCTATTGTCAATAGATTAATATTTAACGCCTAAGCATACAGCATACAAAGTCAGCATATATAATACGGCTAACAACAGTTACTCGCATCGCCCATTGATACATTTGCGTCTGGAACGATGGTATAATCTATGGCACGCCAGCTTTGCTCTTTGCCAAGTACATTAAACGTTCTTCATATGTGCGTGTGTACGCATGCGCGGCTTGAAAGATTAAATCTTTCTAAATTTTATATTTTGAAGAATTGCATGGAGAATTTTTTTTTCACTATATCAGAGAAGAATCACACAAGAAATGATTCAAAAATCTAACTTATTTTCCCTCATTCTCTCATTATAATTCAATAAATGATTTCAGCTGTTCGTGCGAAGACGCACGTAATGGATGAAGTGGAAAGCTGATCTTAACTTGGAAAATAATCCGATATAATCCAGAATACACATACGGATTAATGTATCCCGTAATACATTAAGCCCCGATTAGATTAATTTGTGTCTATATTTCCCAGACAAGTATATATAGTATATATACTTGTAGTAGTATACGTTTGAGCCGAATGTTTTCAGCTAAATACGTTTCCCCGCCAACGTCAAAGAAATTTTCAAAATCTACGAACATCCCAGAGAGGTATATATCTTTAACATTTAGCAATATTTTGCAGTCTGACTTGGCAGTTTTAAGGATTTTAAGATGTTTAAATCTACCTGTGTTATTAGATTTTTTTGGCTTACTGACCAGAATATAACCTAGGGCAGGAATTCAATTCATAAAGGAAAGCCCTATGGGCATGGAAACACAACGCCCTTAGCTTTAATTTGATTTATGCTGTATAAACCCTGCACATTACAAGGCAACGAGTTGTTTTAATTGCGATGCTGTGTAAAGTGCTGTCAGAGATGAAAAATACACCTGTTTTTAAGCACACATGGCGTAATGAATAATATCACGCGCAATAAAACACTTTTTCTAAAACACGCTTCCAAAGGCACAAAGGGCTCGCAAAACACGACGGTATACGAAAAGTTCACGAGGAAATGGAAAAACATCCTGCAAACGAAACACTCACGGCGAGATCGCTCCAGTTAGCTAACTGAAACTAGGAACGACGTCTTCGATGACGAATATACATTGCTAATTGTTCAGGTAAACAGAGTCTCGTATCTTAGCAGATGAGGGAAGTGTTATTAACGCTATGTTAATATTTGCCCGAATGTCCTGACAAAACGCAAAGTCGCTATTCATGATTAATTAAAGATGCTATTATATAGGCATCGTTTGCCGTAGTTTTCGATCATATAATCAAAAAAGCTCCGATAGTCTGACACGGTCCGACCATATTTCGAAATTAAACACTCGCACACCGCTACACGTTATCAAAATTGGAACATGCACTGGTTATGCCACACAAAATTGATGAATTTTTTATATTAAATTCAATTCGACATACGTGGAAGTTGGAATAAAGATAAAAAAGAGTCGATCGTTTATATGCTCTGTTTCCCGTATATAATATATTCGAGCGAAGGTCATTCGTGGATATAAAAGGTATAATAACCCTTTTTACACTCGTTCGGTTGGAACTCAATTGCTGGGTATCCCGTCATTCACAATCAATCAGCTCGATATAGCTCCAGCTGTATTGTGACAAGAGATCTCACTTTGGGAGCTTCGTTCTTCATGTGGAGAAGATCTTAAACAGCTGCATGACATCAACTTGTGAACAGCGAAAGCCGAGTTTATTTCGAGTTTCGAACTAAACCATTTTTTTCCATTGAGGCCCCGAGAAAAAGACTTCACCGGATCGTTTGTTGACAGTCCTCCTAATAGGTACAATTCAATAGAATCTTATTCTTAGAAGACCTAACCCGCTATAAATAGCCAGTCGCCGGCTGAAAAAAAAACAGCTCTTGTAAAAATATATTGAAAGGAAAACTGGACAATGTCTATAACCAGCGTTGGACGCTGTTAATTCATTGCTTAACGGGAATTTGGAAAGTCTCTTGAGTGATATAAAAACAGCTGCTGTAAAATTCAATTTCTAAGGAGGTTTCAGCCTCTTTAAAACCGTTCTAGAGAGCTGCATCAAACCATTAGTGCTAGATTTCGATATATATCATCCGTTAAAGGTCGATTTCTCGAATATTTTGGAGTGCGGTTTTCTGAATGAGCTACATGTCAGGTGTCACAAAGTATAATAACCGCAAAAACAGTGTTTACAAGGGTATAGTAATTGTATTGTCCTACGCCATTCAAGAAGCAGAAATCGCATCTTGGTAAAAAATTCCATCCACATTTGTGCTTTTACACCTAAAAGGTAAGGCATTTCGGCTTTATTACTGCCAAAACTATATCTTCTAGTTTGTGCATGTGGATGACGCATGATAATGTCAATGTCAGATAATTTCGGAGAGTCATTAAAACGTTCCTTCGTACAAAAGTTTACGATTTGCCCGGAAATGATGATTGATAAAGGACGTCTCATTTTTTCCCGCTCAAAAGACGAAACATCACATAATGATTTCGTTTATTCGTTTTTAAGTAGAGTAAAGGAAGAAGTAGTTATATACAAGCTTCAATGCACGCATATCCGAAATTGCCTGTCCCGCGGGCTTGGCAAGGTAAATTTGAAGAAGGCGTAGTTTACATTTTATCATTATTCGACCTAAATGAGATTTGTCTGAGCGATAGCTACTGCTGTGAGGCAATCATGTTGTACAAGCAATGTCTAATTATAATTCATATAAATTATTCTGCTTCCTAAATTTGAAAGCATGAAGGGAGGAGTATGTTGTATATAAGGAAAATAACGCCTGCCGCTTCCCTGCAGCGCCCGTTTAAACAAAATCGAATTTTAACTGCATGGATTATCAACGAGACACAGTGCGATCTATATAACGTATACATGACTAATCGTAGGTGACAGTTTGGGATATGCAGGCCCCGGCTGATTGAAGTCCAGTGTGTACATAAAGCCGGGTGGTTTATGAATATAGTCTGCAATTTTTCTCTCGAAAATTAGTCGGACTAAAAATTTCGATCGTTTAAACGAGAAATTCCGGCTCCATGTGTTTTCGCGCACATGGGCTATAATGGTGCATGATATTCTATGCCAACAGAGCTTGCGTCCATTTAGTCTTTATTCGGAAAGACGATTCCCGAATCAAAAATGTCTTTCCAAAATCTCCTAAATATGACAAGCGTTTTTGATTTACTTAAACAGCTATTTATAATTCATATTGAGCACAAATTATTCAAAAATGAACATGTATCATGCATTTGCTTAAAATATTATTGAACATAGTAACAAAATTTACCAAATAAAAATTCAACATCGTTAGTTTATGATTTCAAATTCAATTCATACGATGACTGACCGAGTTAAACGTATAGGCAGACCTTTGATAAATAAACATAATATAATAATCTTTTAGCAGTTAAATTTTGATATACATCTATGCAAAATGAATGATTCTGTTACTAAATAAGTCAGCGTATACAGCTCTTTACAACTTGCCTGGTAAAGCCTCAAACAACGAGCTTATTGCTGCCATTTCGAATTCGCATTAAAGTTTCTACTTCAAATATTAAAAAAGTTGTTCGCTCATCAGTTTAGGCGCATATTTACGAATGGTTAATGCATCAAAACTTAATTCCTTTTTAATAAAGAAAAACCTTTAAAAAATGATTTATTTGGTCGATGTTGAAAATGACTAATGCGGATAAACTTGACCGACCATCCGTGGCATAAACAAATGTTCAAATAATCAATGTGAAATATTACGAATTTTGATCGCGCAAATCCTGTTTCGCAAACTACAACTTAGAGGGTGAAAAAAAAGTTGTTTTTCTAAGGCAAGTATAATGAAGTTCCTTACTTACTAATCATGAGTCTGAAAAAATTAAAAGAATTCAATGTTTTCGACACATATATAAATATTAGCAAAAGATCACTCCAAAGTCGATTAAAACTTATTTAAAATGCGTCATGCTTTATATTTAGACTTTTAAATGAGCAAATGGATGGGTTTTTTTTCAAAAATTAATCTTAATTTCAATTTAAAAGGTTACAAAGGGAAACTGAACGATTGAAGATTCAAAAAGTGGGGGACTGACGTCAGCGAAGAACATTTTGACTTATGATAGCGTTCTGTTTATAAAATGAAGTAATAATGATACATAATTGTCCTTCCTTACGAACGATTCTGATCTTAAGGTCTATTTAAATATATAGGCCAATATACTGTTCGTATATCTCTTTTAGTATCTCTATTTATTACACGTGGACATAAATATAGTGGGGTTAAGTGCTTGTTGTTCTTTTGCAGTTAAAATATCCAAGGAAACGTTACGTCTTCGAAAGCACCGCAAAAACTCATATTCATTCTTCGAGATTCATATTGGAACGATCTTGTCAATTTTGCGACATCGCTACACGAGATTTACGCGTGTAGAATGTCAGGTAATTACACACAAGCGACGGACTCCGCTGCACTGCGCACGATCGTAATATCGACTTTCATGGCTTTCACGGACGTCGCCGTATTTTTTGGCAACTTTTTGGCGGTCGCGTCGTTTTGTATCAACAACAAACTACACACAGTTACAAATTCATTCATCGTCAGCATGTCTGTGGGCGATTTGTTGATCGCTCTTGTGTGCATACCAACTCTACTTGTGGCAAACTTGATAGGACCAAATCTATCGTTGAAGAAAGGCTTGCGTTATTGTCATGTGTCTCTATCAATCACGATAGCGCTAATGATCGTTGCGATCGGCAACTTGGCGTTAAATTCGCTGGACAGATACCGTGCGATCTTGTACCCACTTACATACAACGTGCGAATGACAAAGCGACGCGTTTTTTGGAAGATCGCTCTAGCGTGGATCGTTTCGTTCGTTTTCGGATTCGTGCCGTTCCTCGGTTGGGGAAGGCTGCCAAACAAACGCAACGAGAAAGAAACGTTGTTTTGCCAAGTGCGCGCGAACCTGTCGCGTGATTACATGCTTGCTTTCCTCTGCATCGCCGGCGTCCCGTTTCTTTTAATGGGCGCGGCGTATTGGAAGATTCTGAAGACCGCGCGCAGACATAGCAAGGTCATAGCGGCGGACGTCGCAAGATTACAGGAAAACAAACGGGCTGATTATATCAAGGAGACGCGCGCGGCGAAGCTCGTCGGCGCCATATTGGGCGCCTTCGTGCTCTGCTATTTACCGCTGTTCGTAGCGGTCGTGGTCGACGTTTCGCTGAGCGGAGGTATTAGTTCATATGTCTACGTTGGCGCAGTTCTATTAGGCACTATCAACTCTTCTGTGAATCCCTTCATTGTTGCCGCCATGAACAGGGAGTACAGGCAAACCTACCATCGGATCATTCGTTGCAGATGGCGGATGGCAACGGCTGGCGGCCAATGTGTTCAGGCCTGGAGGAAATAAAAGATTCGATGCGACCTATAATTTTAATATTATTATTGTTGTTAATAAATATTATTATTGTCATTATTATTGTTATATCATTACTATTGTTTTAAAACATTTATACATGCGGTAGCCTTTCACTTGCGCGATTTTCAATAGACCGTGTTAAAAATACGTTAACTATAATACATTTCAATTGACAATTGCAATAACTATTAAATAAATTATGAAATAAATTATAATTTATCACAATTTCATAACTATTTCATGTAATCTCTCCCCGTCTGTTTAGCGGTTTATATAGGCGAGATATCAACCAGAGGCCTGTCTATCTGTCGCAGATTTTAGCAGCAATGTGACAATATTAATTATATAGTCCAGGTACTATTGCTTAGACTTAATAGAAGTTTTCCGAAAAAAACCCAGAGCAATTAATTTGCTTACATATTTCTATTGATTTCATAGAGTAATTTTGAAAAATTCCTATTCCCTGTTCATTGGCATTGGCCAATCAGGATGGCTTGAGTGATAAATTCAAATTTGATTGATGTCAATAAAATGCACAATAAGAATGACAGGATGAAATTGGTGGCAAACTTCGAAGTTCAAGTGCGCTTGGGGCTAGACAGTTGCGTTGCTCAATTTGACCAGTTTGGTCTGTTTCAGACGTCTGACTGTGATCAGTAGCGTAGCCATCCTGACGATTTGTCTCGCTGTGCTAATATTTTGGTGTCCATTGACTGTGAAAACAATAAATTTGTAAAGAAATGAATAAATATAAAAACTCAAAATTTACATAGCGGGATCGGACAAAATCGTCAGGCTGGCTACGCCACTGACTGTCATCGAACCTAATGTTAAAGGCTGTTACACTATGCAATTTTCTTTGCAAGTTGCAATGCAATTATAATTTTCAAAGATGTTTTTAAAGAGTGTTCGAAATGCTAAGAAAATCGTTAGCAGATCGTCAAAAACGTTCGTATTTATATTCGTATTCGTCAGTCATTATAAGTCAGTATTTGTTCAAGTTCCGTTTGCATTCGATTTCACACACGAAAAATTCTTCAACAGTAGTGTGTAGTCATACAAATAATAGCATTCACTCGAGAAAGAAGCAATATGTATAATTTTGTAAATAATCTAGCAAAGGTCTTAGACCTTTTTGAATGTAGCACTGTTCAGTTCTGACTTCTGACTTGTGCATTTTCACAATTTCACTGTGTAATACCTGTTTACAGGGTTTATAGAAATGTATGCAATTCATCGTCAACATGTTTTTGGGCGATTTGATGATCGCTCTTGTATGCATACCAACTCTACTTGTGGCAAACTTGATATCGGACCAAATCTATCGCGCGTTGGAGAAAGGCTTGCGTTATCGTCATGTGTCTCTATATTAATCACGATAGCGCTAATGATCGTTGCGATCGGCAAATTTGCGTTAAATTCGCTGGACAGATACCGTGCGATCTTTCACTTGCGCGATTTTCAAGAGACCGTGTTAAATTATGAAATAAATTATAATTTATCACAATTATTTCATGTTATCTCTCCGCGTCTGTTTAGCGGTTTATATAGGCGAGCAATCAACCCGAGAGGCCTGTCTATCTGCTGTAGATTTTAGCAGCGACGTGACAATATTGCATTATATACAGGGTGTCCCAAAAAAAACGAAAACTATTGAAATCACACATTGTTAAAATTTGAATGCCGTGTGCACGAATTTCAGCCCGTGGGGATTTAATGCAAGTTTAAAATGCTAAATGCTTTGTGTTGCTAGAGAAAGAAGACATGTCGAAGGTCATGGAGCTTGAGATGCACATTTAAATAATGTTATCCATATTTGTAAATTGTAAATATTGTTGATAAATACCATTTTTGCGAACAAGCAAATTTGACTGCATCATATGCATGCATAAAAATGCTTATGGCAACCCCGATTTATACACTTGTGGGCCCAACAGGGTGCTTAGGCATTCAAACTCTAACAATGGCATTGTTATGGGTGATTTCAATAGTTTTCGGTTTTTTTGGGACACCCTGTATAGTCCAGGTACTATATTGCTTAAACTTATTTGCTTAATTGCTTATTGCTTAGACTCGAAGTCTTCCGAGAAAAAACCTGAGCAATTCATTTGCTTACATTCTTCCATTGATTTACAGAGTAATTTTGAAACTCCTTGAAAAATCTTCAAATTTGGTCTGTTTCAGACGTCAAACTGTGCAATTTTCTTTGCAAGTTGCAATGCAATATATTATAATTTTGAAGGATATTTTTAGAAAGTGTTCGAAATGCTAAAAAATCGTTAGCAGATCATGAAAAAACGTTCGTATTTGTTCGTATTCGTGTAAGAAAGCCTTATAAATTAGCTAAGTTATTCGTTCATTTGCATTCGATTTCACACATGAAAAGTTCTTGAACAGTAGTGGGTAGTCATGCGAGTAACTTGCCCAGTGTATAGTTCCTGAGCCCTCGTGTCCTCTATAGTTTATTATAATACGGAGGGCTCAAACTCGGGGATAACGAAACAAGGCACTTTTTCATCGTTATAGGTTAATCTCATTATATATTGAGTTTCATTCAACGCGTTATTTTTAACTATCTAACGCGCGATCGAACGTAAAGTAATAATTTCGCGTGTCGCTGATCAAGTTGGTGATATGGCAAATATATCGATCAAATCCATCGCTTTGAAATGGTTCTATTTTACCTGTTTTGGTGGAATGGTACTCTACGCAGAATTCTGCCATCTCGCGTTTAAACGATATGGATTGTCTCCAGAACAGATTGGATTCACAACTCTCATGGGTGTTCAACATTTCCTACTTCCGTTTATTCTTGTACTTGCTGACAGATTTCGGGCAAGAAAGCTGGCTGTTTTAGCGGGAACGATTGTTCTGGTGTTGGCTTGCTTACTTGCATACTCGCCTACGATAATATCACTACCTACGTGTTTTAACTCGCCCAAGTTGTCACCCAATAATTCGAATGACGTGATGTCCATACCACAACACGGTCAATTGGCCAACGGCTCCGTAAATGTATCAAGTTCGAATGATACATATGTTTCAAACAGGGTATTGCAATTTCAAGAATCGCCACCAATACAGCATGTACCCTGGCTAAGTACACTCTTTATTTTTATGGTTGCATCAAGATTGATAACAATAATGCTTGTGACTCTGATAATTTGCTTGGCTAATCTAGCGGTAGTGGCTTATCTCAAGGAAAAGCGTTCAGATTACGAAGAATATTTCATGTGGAGTCAATATTGGCGGCGGCGTTGCAATTTTCGCGGTGGCCCTGCTCGCTTGGGCTGTCAGAATAAAGTTCTGTGGAATTGAAGACTATGGTTATAATTTAATGTTTATAGCCGTGGGTTGTATGGTGTTATTGTCAATGATGTCTCTACCGTGGTTCACATTTGAATATGAAGAAACAAAAACTCTAAACTGGAGAGAATTAAAATCAACTTTGTTCAATTTTCACTATGTTTTTATGTTTTTCGTGCTATGGTACTGTGGTGCGTGTATCGCTTTTCAAATAAACTGGGAGTTTTGGTAGCTGGACGAATTAACAGCAAGTCCATTATTGATGGGCGGAGTTGCCTTGATTCGACGACCACTGTTGGCGCTTTCAGGCTACATGTCTGTTTATCTCTTAAAATATGTCGGAGAAATGAAGACGATTTGCGTGGCTTTGCTGTCCTATTCATTGTCATTTTTTGCTCTATCCTTCACGAGGATACCCTGGTTTGTTCTTAGTATCGATATTTTCCAGGCGTTCGCTTATGGCCTGAGCTACTGTGCGTTTACGGTGCATTTTTCAAAAGCCGGATCGAAACAATTGTCAGGTGTAATTTTGAGTGAGTATGTTCTGAATATATAAACAACCTTATAAAATTCTGAATTTCGAAAATGTCCCTCAATCCACGCACACGTTGGTCTTAATTATCCTCTCATTTGTGCAGGCTCATGTTGTCAGCGGCAAAAATCCCCCCAACTCGTGCAGGCTCATATTGTCAGCGGATGTTTTAGGTAAAATTAAGATCAGTAGGTGAAATGTGAAGAAAAAGTGAGCCTGCTGTACTAGAAGGAAATTTACGCAATTATGCCGTGGTTTGCCAATAGCATACAGGGTGTCTCAAAAAAACGAAAACTATTGAAATCACCCATAACAATGTAATTGTTAGAGTTTGAATGCCTTAAGCGCTCTGTTGGGATAATATCACAATAAACACTCGTTGTTCCGCGGTCAGCTGTACCATTTTCTTTCGAAGCAATAACAAGGCTAATTTAAATTTAATCATATTCACAATTTCAAATTTTTCCTATTTAGCATTTTATAATTTGCATTAAATCCCCACGGGCTAAAATTCGTGAACATGGCATTCAAATTTTAGCAATGAGTGATTTCAATAGTTTTCTTTTTTTTTGAGACACCCAGTAGTTCCTATGCCGGTTTTTAGGCTCGGATTGGGCACTGAGCTATATTGGGTCGCAAGGACGGCGGAAGATAATTCAATGTGGGGCTAATATTTATATATTCATGTTCAGAATTATTAGATCTTTATAAAATTTGTTTTCACGGTTTCCTAACATGAATACATGAATATTTGCCCCTCACTTAACGCTCTTCTGCAGTCTTTGGGTCGAATGCAAAGACAGGCATTGCGGTCATTTCTTTTCCATATGATTTAAACATTGAACAGAAAAAAAAGGGAAGGCTACCTTCGCCCTAACGCACGAATCATAACCTCGTCGCCAGACACTGCATAGCTAAATTTCGCATGTTTATTTCTTTGCAGTTCAATGAATATAAAAAGCAACCTTTTTAATTTTGTGCTTCCAGGTATGGTGGAGACAGGTTTTTCCTTTGGAATGGATGTTGGTGCGACAGTCATAGGAGTACTGTTCAACGCTGTGGGGACTCGAATCACTTTCATGATCTTTTCCTTATCCTCGTTCCTAATTCTTATTGCTTTGCTATTGTATATCATTTTTTCAAAACATGTGGAGGACGATTATGAAGAACTTAGTCAAGAAGAAAGCGCTAATAAGTAC